TATACTATACTATACTATACTATACTATATTATACTACACTAAACTAAACTACACTAAAATACACTACAGTGCCACGGGTGTCAGTGGGTCGGTCTCAGGGCAGATGCGACATTCAATTCAATTCACATTTCATGCTGGGATTGTCGATTAAACAAACATGTTGAGGACGTGTCTCAGTGTCGTTATGGCTAGTAGTTATGCCTACTCACAAACTACTGATCGTCTCTAAAATCGTCGAGCACAAAGTCGGCATCAGAGAGCCAATTGCAGTCGCGAATAGGCGAACTCATCCAACCCCTTCAGTGGCTGGCCTTAGACGCAAGTAGAGCGAAAAGGACAAGACAAGAGCATTGCCTACCTCGACATGTGGGCTGCCATGGTAACAGCCAGAATCCGGCCGACTGGACAGGCTGTCGGCTTTCCGGCCGAGTGGAGGCGGATGGGCGCGGCCAGAGGCGGTGGTAGAGCTGAAGGGGGAGTTCGACGAGGCCGAAGAGGGGATTGGGCAGTGCTGGCGGTGGGGAGGGGCGCAGGGGCGCAGGAGGTGGCGCAATGCGTCCGGCGACGACTGTCCGGCTTCGGCCTCTGCGTTGTCAGGACAGAGAGGAGGGTGTGGGGGGCGGCCGGAGAGCTGGAGGCCAATGAAGATGGCGCGAAGCAGGTCGGAGGATGTGACGATGCCGACGGGCGGGAAGTTGGGCCTCGAGCCGGAGGGAGGCGAGGCGACTTGGTCTTCGCGAGGGCAGAAGGCGGTGGTCGACGCCGCTGGGTCGTCAAGAGGATACTGGACGCCCAAAGGGGGAGAGGCGGGAGCCTGCGTGTTCCGATCGCCCAGCAAAACAAGACAAGAAGTCTGCAACAAAATGGCACAAAGAGAGAAATGCTTTAATATTCCGACTTGTAAGGAAGACCATTTCATTTGAGTGGAGTCTGGCGCAGCAGAGCGGAGAATGCATTCGAGGACATTACTCACTTTCGCTTTGAGCAGTAGTTATAGATACGAAGATAAAGTTAGTTTCGATGAATCTCCTGACATAACATTGTCAGGGGGACCTTCGTTTCGGATGAAAGTGCATGAAGAATAAGCTCATCAACCAAACCAGACATGTCAAATTACGCAACCCCAATCTTGCCTTTCCTTGGAGGTTTAAACGACTGAAGGGTTAGGACAAGTGGTTTCGTAACTTAATTTTCCTCCTTACAAGCTCATATTTCATTATCTCAACCATAATTGTTTACGGACCTAGGCAGTCTCAGTCACAGATTTTCTTTGGATCATTAGGTCATGAGGATAAGAAAAGGAGATCTAACCTTTGACAAGTCTGATTTAGGAATCGTATTGCATATAGACGCTAATACGCACAAATAAACATACTCATACAATCGAGCAAAAATAACAGAACCAGTATGAAAGAAAATTAACCAAACCATTCTATAACGATCTATCTATCTATCTATCTATTTATCTATCTAGGTTTTTAATTTTTAATTTTTTTTGCTTGATTTAGTCTATTTAAGAAGTAAGATGAAGCCGGATAGTGTTCTTGGCCTATTGTTAACGTGTGACTTACAAGAATGAAACCCAGCTCTGATGATGTCCATCGAATGATGGATGAAAGCTTAGCACTGCGTCAGCATGAATATCGTATCAAAGCCAAACGGCTGCAATACAACGAGATTTATTCGTCTTCATCTGGTCAGATCGACCGACCAATCTCTTCCTCAGTCAGTTTCATGCGAACTAAAAGTCCCCCTAATAAATAACTTTGTAGATTGTTATAGCAAAATATACATTTGCTTCATTGTGGAACAATATGAATGACCCTATGGCCTGAATATTTCTGTCCCAGGATAGATATAAACTTATCCCAGACCCAGTAGGAGCTAGAGGTTGTTGCAAGGTTTGAAAAGTCGACTAATATCTAACAATAACGACCTAAATGAGAGAATAAATGCACGTGCAAATCGTCTGCTTGTACGGAATCTAAAGTCGAGCATAAGCACACGAAAGATATTAGTGGAGAAAGAAAAACAGAGTAAAAAAGGTGCATGAATAAATTGAAATAACTATATTTAAAGGGAGTTTATATTGTCAACGAAATTGGCTCAATTCTTTTAATTTTAAATTTTTATTTGGCTCGATTGAGTATATACAAGAAGTAAGATAGAGCCGAATAGTGTTCTTGCTTTAGTGTTAACGTGAGACTCTTACAAGAATGAAACCCAGTTCTGATGATGTCCATTTTTTGATGGACGAAAGCTCATCCCGTTTTCGCCCGAAACGAGGGAGGAAGTCTCGTGGACTGCGTCAACATGAAGATCGTATCAAAGCCAACCGGCTGCAGTACAAGATTCATCCGTCCTCATCTGGTGAGATCGACCAACGAATCTCTTTCTCGTGCACTTTCATTCCAAATGAATGTCCCCCTAACAACAGTAGTTATTCATATCATCGTGGGATAATTCTACCACCAGTCTTTCATAACCTTAAACGAAATAGGCTGAATACCTCCCATACTACTGATTTACCGGTAGTCTCGAAACTCCACTCAAATAGGAAAAATAACTTCGCAACTTGCTCATATTGGCAGGGAGACCTGAAGGCACGCATCTTGTCCGGAGTCCGTAGTAGACATGACAACTGCCAGGCCGGACCGTGAATTTGGCACATTCCCAGACGTTTCGCCGAAGAACCGAAGTAGAGATACCACAAATGTTCAGCAGAAAATTAGTCAAAGGATTGAGCTGACTCGTCTCTTTGATGAGTTGTAGTGGGCTGCTCAGATCGGCAAAGTTCACTGACGATGCCGGTAAACGTCTGAGAATGTACCAAGTCCACGGTCCGACTGTGGAAATGCTCGAGCATATTACGGACTCCGGACAAGGTGCGTCGCTCCGGGTCTTCCTGCCGATAGGACCAAGTTGCCAAATCACGATGAAACAACTACTTTCACTGCTTAGCTTGTCTTAAGCGACCAAAGTTGAACAAGTTCAAATTCGGTGATTACTGGCCGTCTTGAACATCATCGAATGCATTTTCCGTCTGGCTAAACAACCAAGGGAGACCGCGACCATAGCAACGATGACCACATCCCGGTCTACATATTTTCCCACAATGCGACAGATAAGTATCGAATCCCGAGGTGGAAACTGCAGTTCAGCCTGAATGTGACAAACTTCGGTTGGCAGGATCAAGTGAACGTGGCTATGACGACCAAGCTGTTGTAGTCTCCTCTAGACGGCAAGACGCACAGACGAGGCCGACCACAATGTCGGTGAGACGTCTGAGAATGTACCAAGTCTGCGGTCCAGCGCTCGGATGATTTGGAATAAGGTCGCTCTGGCAGCACGACCGAGTTGCGAGAGCCAAGTGAAATTCTGTGGCGTCCTGAGGCGTAATCATTTCATTTTGTGAAAAACTCAACCTCACTGGAATGAGCAAATTGCTATTCAAGCCTTGCAAACAACTTGCAAGCGTGCTCGCATCAAAAACGGTACCGGCTCAAAGATGACCCAACTCCAACCGGCGTAGCAGCTCACCTTCAGTCGGAACATGCGGTCCACGATCGTGGCAAGATCCTCGTGTGGAAGGCAAACGCAGTGGCGCTCGAGTTGGCAAAACTGAAGGGGACAAAATGAGGCAATTGGAGAAAAACGAAGGGATTATGAGTATGGAGAATGAAGAAAACACAACAAAACACAGCACGGCCGTGCCAGTAGAGCCTCTCCATTCATACATCCAAACGGCGCTCTTGCGGCGTGGCCTCGGCGGCATTGGGAATCGAGTCCAGGAGTCGCCGAGTACTGTGGACCCTATTTTAGCCGGGGGTGGTGAAGGATTGATGGTGTGATTTCCCCAAAATCACATGTTCAGCCTTCACGTGTCCATTGCATTTCACATAGCTCCACTTCTCAAAAGCCATTCTCATTCCGGCAGAAAGTGACTGCAACACACTAGCCCCGACAACGGGACTCGAACCCGAGTCGTGCATTTCACAGAGGACCAGGCATTTTCACATATTACATTCTGTGATGAAAAATGCACACCTGTCCTGGGCCCCAAGAGTACTCGTGGCAGTGTGTGGCGTAGAGAGATCGACGTGCAGAGAGTGCACGCGGCACCACTACGACTCGAGTTCGACTCCCGCCGGGGGCACTGATAAGACCGAAACTGCAGTCCCCTCGAGCCGGTGTGAAAATACCTTTTGCGGTGGGGAGGCTATGTGAAATGAGGGAAAAGTAAACTAGCTACGCCGTCTTAAACGTCGTCTCATGAGTATATATGATCTAGTAGTAGTCACGACAACCAATTTTGTTTAGGGTAGAGCTGACGTTTCCATTCAACTTCACATAGCTTTGCTTTCGCAAAAGTTGTTCTCATCCAGACAGAAGGGGACTGCAGTTTCGACCCCGCTGGGGATGTTGATAAGACCGGTTGATGCGAGGATGAAAATGACTTTTGCGAAAGCAAGTCTATGCGAAATTGAATGGAAACGTCAGCTCTACTCAACCGATTGTGGGAAAATGCTTCCACCCGTCCTTCATCACCCTAAACGAAATTGGGTGAATACCTTTCATACTACTGAATTACTGATAGTCTCGAAACAATAA